GTATCTGGGCTTGTCTCGTATGGATGAAATTTCGTGCAGCCGGGTCACATCGCCACTCGGAGTGTATGTGGATGTGGCACACCTGGTCCCTGATGGCGTCAGTGGTGAGCCTATAACGCGTTCATTCTTCCTTCCATTGTCTTCGCTTCTTTCTAGGTCTTTTACCGTTCCGTGTCGGGTCAATGTATTTCTGGTGGATCTCCTGGCGCAGGAGGAGCGCTTTGCACTTGCGTTCACACTAGTACTGCGTTTAATGCGTTAGCATTGCGCAAGGTGATTTGAAGCGTTCAAGGTACCGTCCAGCGACAGTGATTGCTGACAGTGATAGATCATGATCATACCCAACTCCCGATCGGGACAGATCGAAAACTCCTAATCGAAGTGGCGCGTTGTGCAAGGATTGCTGTCACGATGTCCGCTACTTAACTGCTATCGCCGTGAGGGGAGCATCACATCGCCGGGAAATGACAAAACATACGCACAAATCTTCAATTCTTGTCCGCAGTGTGGTGACCTCGCTCACATATATAAGGGTTAGTTCTACGACGATGGCCTCTTCATCAAGTGATCCAATACCTCAATTTTTCTCCGCTCACAATGTCTACCGCTCAAGCTGGCTACACCTGGTTTATCACCGGGTACGTTAGTCTGTTCATATTATTCAGTGTTGGCTGGCTGTGTGGCTGATCATATGCCTAGAGCAAATCGAGGTATCGGATTGGAGTTGACGAGGCAGCTCCTCGAAGTGTCCTCCAATACCGTTATTACCGCATGTAGGAGCCCGTCGAAGGCAGATGCTCTCCAGGCTCTCAGTCATTCAGCCAAGGGCACGCTGCACATTGTTCAAGCCTCGCTTGAGGTGACTGATCGTGACTCTGTTCGAGCGGTCGCAGCCGAGGTCGCCCCACTGGTCGGAGAGCATGGCATTGACTATCTTATCAACAACGTCGGAGCGGTACGTCGTTCGGCCATTCTATGCATTCCAATCGCTCACCTTTTTTTTGCCTCCGTGCGATAGGCGGTGGGGATTGACACGGGGTTCACTGTGGACATCGAGGGGCTGATACAGACCTTTGCGATCAACGTCGGCGGAACGGCCATCGTCTCGCAGGCCTTCGTCCCTCTTGTGGAGAAGAGCACAAAGAAGACGATCGTCAACATAACGAGTTCGCTCGGGAGCATCGGTGTCGATCTTGGCGTCAAGATGGCTTCGTATTGCATCTCGAAGAGTGCGCTCAACATGCTTGTGCGTCTTCCTATGCCCTTCCCATTCATTTCTAGTTGTCCGGGCATGCGTCTTACTCTATCTGCAGACGTACAAGCAGGCGAAGGAAAGACCCGACCTCACTGTGGTAGCCCAATGCCCTGGATGGCTCCAGACCGGTGAGCATCCCGCTTGCACCGTCATCCAACCTCGACTCACCCATAACCAATGCAGATCTGGGTGGGTCAGAAGCCCCTCTTCATGTATCTGTCGGCGTTCGCGGGGTCATCGATTCAGTCTTGTCCCTCACACCAGAGGATTCTGGCAAATTCCGTAGCCATGAGGGAAAGTATGTTCCATGGTGATCCTACGAGGTGTACGAGTGTATGAGTGTTCAATACGTATCGTGTCGCCAATTACACGGTGGAGCCTGAAGCTCCTTGATACTGGAAATTGTAGAAACTATCAGAAGCCTCACGGTGTAGTTCTTCATAGATTTTGTCTAGTTGCCTACTATCTACCATCAGACTAATTCCCAGTCAAACCTCGAGCTTTTGCAGTCTATAGACGGGTCCTGCGATAGAATTGGAGTGTCCGGAGAGAACTGCGAAGGGCGCTCGCAGCCACGAATGTTTAGGGCAGGTCATTACGCGTATGGCGCCCAGGTCTTGCATGATTGTGGCCCCTTTCACCGATCCGTTCTCTCCCCAACTCCTCCCCAAATCTCTACCGTGGTCAACATGTCTACCTCTTTGAAGATAGTGCCATTTCCGGAGAGACAGCTCCCAGACTCTGTGCCAAATCTCATGCCCTTCCACATCGCGTACACCGGCCCTGCACCCATGTCCACCTACTTCCGCGTCAAGGCCGCGCCTGAACCCACATACGGACAAGAAATCAGATCACCGAAACTACTCGTCTCTGCGGACGTGCAAGAGTCCATGGACTCGCAAGCGACACTCGTTGAGGAACCTGAACCGACCCCCGGCGTTGGCTCATCTTCCTCTGCAACCACTCTTGCCTCTTCGACGACCTCATCAGATGTCACGATGCGCGATGAAGCTACGGGCGCGTCTACCTCTGGGGCATCGCACTTCGTCGCGTCGTTCAGGGGCCGGGAGGTACGTGGGACCAAAGTCGACCTTCCAGAGGGCTACGCGGGGATCGTGCTACGCGCATCAGACGACACGAAGGGCAAGGGTGTGGATACTAGGAGGAAGGAACGAGATGAAGAGAAGCCCAATCCGAAGCGCAGGGTGACGCGGCGGGCAAAACGCGCTCAGGAGGTGATCGAGGTTCAGGACGAGGATGGCGCGATGGACACTGAGAGTGGGGCACCTCCGTCGGACGAGGATCCGGTACGCGTCTTGCAACCGGTATCGACGTTCTCGTCATTCGTGCTGTGGCACCCAGACAACCCTGTCGATCCCGGACGCGATGAGTATATGCGGTCTCTCAAGGAGTGGACGAGGCTTGCAGCGGAGGTGCGTGAGCTCCCGTTTTGTGCGCCAGTCGGTCACTGACGTGTCTATGTGATCAGATTCATCGTGTTGAAGACTGAACGCAGAGTTTATAGACTCGTACGCCAGTCGTGACTATCACCGACCACCACTCATTTATGTACGCTGCCTTTTCACGGGTGCTGATTCCGAACCAAGTTGTGCTGTGCAACTATTGGATGCGGGGGTAATATATCACGGAGTAGGTCTAGCAAGGCTGCAACGCAGGATGCCTCCGAGGAGGCCCTCGACCCGTGCTGAAAGCCATTCTATGCGATTTCGACGACCGGAACCAGAACTCTGCTTATGCGCGCGTTGGAGACGACCTGTGACGTACTTACGTACAAGCATAGGGATCGCCGCCGACCGTCATCCTACACAACAAGGTATATCATCCCCGCCCTGGGAAGCGATTTGAGCCAACGCTCCGGCTTCCATTCATCCGCGTCCTAGAGCCCCTTGCTGGGTGGGCCTTGACGGGCCTTGACAAATATGTTGGTGCATATTTAAATGGGTCTCTGGATGATCTTCTGCCCGTCGAGGCTGCGGATTGGGGTCGAGAGAGGGAGACGTCACGCAGGACCGGTAGATCGGTTTAGAGCGCCCATATATGAGGTTAGCGTACTCTATCAGGGTGATGGTGACCGAGACTGACCTGCTTCTGGGAGAACACAAGCCTAGTTACAAGGTAAATGTGTAAGATTATAGAACTCCTTGCGCAGGCTACTCAGGTTCTTCTGCGTTTTGCGCAGAGCTGTTACCCTGTATAGAAGAACGCTCTCAGTGGTGGGAGTGGATACGGCCCTATGACTGGAGATGTGGACAGTGGAGGACCTAGAGGATGAGCCACTATAATCACCTTCAGACGACTTGGGGACCCACGCGGCGATTTCAGACCAATGGCCATGATAAGGTGACGGGTGTCGTTCTGGTTAGGGATGGAAATACCGATCGGCACTACCGGTCGGCATAAGCAGTGCTCTTTCTTCAGTTTGGTGGAAACCCGACGGAGATTGTCTATTGTAAGGCCGCAGCTTATAGCAGCAGAACCGACTCGCGGATTATGGTGTAGGTTGCACGACATCGAGCTATCCCGTGGCCACAGAAAGCATATATAAGGAACTCATCGAGTAAGGGCGACAGCAACATCGGTCAGTGCGCCGTTTCAGAAACATGTCCCCCTCGCCGCCCTCGCGTGTATGGCTGGGTGCGTCCAACTCAACTATGTCTTTAATCCCTACTCATCACACCCTCTCCAGTGACTGGTGCCTCGTCCGGCTTTGGCCTTGAGGCGACGCTTTATGCTCTCGAACGCGGGGACAGAGTCGTCGCGACACTCCGAAATCCACCTGTTCTCGCCGACCTCACATCCAAATACAGTTCCGCACAGCTGGTTCTGGCCAAGGTCGACGTGACCAACCACGAAGACATCAAAGCCGCGTTCGCGAAGGCCAAGGAAGCGTTCGGACGCGTAGACGTGGTGTTCAATAACGCCGGACACGCGCTCGCAGGAGAGGCCGAAACCACGCCAGAGGACCTTGCGCGAAAGGTCTTCGAGGTCGACTTCTGGGGCGCTGTCCGCGTCTCGCAAGAGGCCGTGCGGTTCTTCCGGGAGGAGAATAAGCCCCAAGGCGGACATCTGATCCAGAACAGTGCTGCGGCTGGGATTACTGCGTTCCCTACCCTTGGATTCTACGTGGCTGCGAAGCATGGTGAGTTCACGCGTCTCCGCGGCATTGACTCGAGAGCTGCTAGTGACAAACTATCTCGCAGCTTTGGAAGGCTTCACTGGTACGCTGCATCAGGAGCTCAACCCCGCGTGGAACATCAAGGTAAGTGAATTTAGCGGAACCAGTGGTCATGTCCATATGGATTGACCATACGCTAGATCACGTCCGTTGAACCGGGTGCCTTTGACACCAATGTTGTCAGTGTCTCGCAACTCGCTCCGCAGCACCCAGCCTATGCAGAAGAGGGCTCGATTACCGCTATCGTGCGCAAGGCTCTCATTCAGTCTGCACAGTCATGGCAGGGCGCGAAAGATACCCGGAAGGGGGTGCAGAAGATCTATGACTTGACGTTGTTGCCCAGTCCTCCACTTCACCTTCCCCTGGGGCAAGACGCAGTTACTGGGATCAGAAGACACATCGAAGCACTCACAAAGGATGTCGAGGACTATGCACATTGGTCACAGGGACTTGACAAATAGTAGTGAATGATTCTCAACTTGACAAGTAGTAGTATCAAACTACTATCAACCATCGTGGAATTTATTCTTCCTTGTGGGCAAAAACGCCTGACGGAAGTGGGATTCGAACCCACGCCCTTTCGGACTAGATGACGTCTTCGCCTGATTCTAGCGCCTTAGACCGCTCGGCCATTCCGCCTCGCTGTATGTCGCACAAAGTTTTGATCTAGCGTGTACGTGTCAGACAACATTCCGGGAGCCATAGAATTTGAGTAACAATGAACATGAAACATGAAATTCGTACTTCCAGGACCCATTCTGGGGTCAGTAGAATGTAACAATTCTAGGGAGTACACAACTTTGGATTTGCGGGTTGGAAAAGTTCCTGAGCCGCGAGAAGTCGAAATTCTGTAAGCAATTCTGGTAGCCACAAAACGATATCCGGAAAGTATGAAATCTGGGAGCACGTGAGCTCGCAATTCCAGCACCATCCCAGAACTTCAAACTTCTGTGAGCACGTCGCCCGTGCAGACATCGTTTTGTGGCCTCCAGAATCGCTTACGTGATTTTCACTTCTCACGGCTCAGGAACTTTTCCAACCCGCAAATCCGAAGTTGTGTACTCCCTAGAATTGTTACATTCTACTGACCCAGAATGGGTCCTGGAAGTACGAATGTCATGGTTCATATTACTCAAAATTCTATGGCCCCCCATATTGTTGTTCACATCTGTGCGCAATGCGATCTGGAGGCTGGGGTTTGTGGGAGCGCATATTGGGAAGATTACTTGATTAGGAAGATAGAATTGCTTTATGGGGTAAGCGCCATGGACCGACCCATGAGACATTGAGAACGGTCGTGCCCACATCAGCTTGAAGTTGAACAAAGACTTGCTCATAGCGCGTAAGCGTGGCAGCCTCACTCATGCGCTCTGAGGCGTCCAGCTGATAGGCAGTCATCCGTCCAGCTCTATGATGAACATCATCGATCTCCCCGTCGATATTCTACTGAACATCTTCGTCCGGTTGCAACTCAGCGATCTTCTTGCGCTCCGAAAGGTCTGCAAGCCTTTCATCTGCCAGTCGCTCAGTATACTGATGAAACATTGTATGTATGACACCCTAATTAGACGTGCAAAGATCTCGAGTCTGTCACACGCGAGCGGAACATCTGGCACAGAGCCTTATCAGTGCGCTTCCTCCAGCGCGGCTTGCCCATACCGGGCATCGCCAGTCACAGTATTGATCTCTCGAGCCTCTCTTCAACAAAGATCGAGCGTCTGGCAATCCGCGCGGACCGGTTATGGGCCAACTGGACGTCTCCTCAACCACGCCGTTACACAACCATTGATCTTCGCCCGACACACCGTCCCTGGGCCTCCGTCAGCTCGCGCAATCTAGCCACAGAGTTTCTTCCCGGATGGAACGGGAAATACCTGCTAACCCTTACGCTGTTCGACTACTCATCGGATGCGGAGAACCGAAGGTATTCGTTCGAGCTGTGGGACATTGGTACGCCAGACACCACGAAGCCTATCGCGGAACTACTCGTGGCAGGATTGCTCGGTTACGCAGTCAACTCAGAGTCCGACAGCCCACATGTCCTTTCAGTTACACGTCGGAACCTGAATCAGTAAGTTCACGTTGATCTGCTAGGTCTACGTACGGGCACTGACCACAACTCTGCGCTAGGCTAGTCTCCTCGACGTATACAATAGACTTCAGTACTCCAGGTGTAGACCCGTGGTTCAGGCGCACAAGCGAGTTCAACAGCTTCCGAACCACGCTTGGGTTGCAAGGATCGTACTTCGTCGCGGTCGACACTGACCAAGAAGTCCGTTTGATCAATGTCGACAACGGGCAACTAGTTTGCTTGCTCAAGATTCCTCTAATTCACAACGATCCTACCATTCGACTTCAGGTACGACATGCTCGCGTGCACACCGTCATTGCTTCGCTCATGTATCCATCGTCCGTGTAATGCAGGAGCATCAGTGTCTCGACTACGATATCTTCGGCGATTTCGTGCTGACGTTCTGCAAGCAATGGATATACCTGTACTACATAGGATCCTCTACTTTACACCCCGTGAACGAGGCAGGCTCCGAGGTCGCTATCCCTCGTCTCGACCCAATCGAGAGGTACAAATGGCGTTGGCGCATTGACACCATCGCCGTCAATCCACGTCGCCTCCCTTCCTCTCCGTCCTCCTCCCCACCGCACTCTCTCAACAGTGTGCCTCCGCCGATAGATATGCTCTTCCGGTTTGATACTTGGTACCCGTGGCCGGTGAACATCCTGCACCACTTTGTTCTGCCATCAAACCCATCGTTCTCAGCTTCGACGTTCTCCCTATCCGACCGGTCGACTTATCCGTACCTCGCAACGCCCTCCGACGGGCCGTACATGGTGCACTCCATTCCGTCTCCGGTCCGCCTCTTCACACCCTCGGATATGGTCCTTGGACCGTACGGAACCGCACTTTGGCTCGATGCATCGACGGACCCGACTACACCCTCGCAAGCAGGAGATCGCGGTCAGCGTATTGCGTTCAAAGTCATCGCTGGGCCCGGAGCATCGTCTCAGCATCGGAGATTGCATCAGGCGCAAACGGAGAGCGAGGTCGTGGATCCGGGAGTCGAAGACCTGCCGGCACTGCTGAATGCGGTGGCGCTGGATAGCCACGCGGGGGAGACGATGGTGGCAGACTCGGACGTGAGTGTACTAGCGGTACAGGACCAGCATGAGTTTTGGAACCGGGTGTCGGTGAATGAGGAGGAGGGTCAGGTTGCGATTGGGCATACTGATGGACGGGTGTCGGTGTATGTATACGCGCCGCCTGCTTAAAGATTGAAGGTGCGTTCCTATAATCAACTCGCATGTTTGACATCACTCAAGAGTCGTCTCCGTAGATGCTAACTATGATCATCGACGGTTCTGAGCATGTACTGAATTTGAGGGGTATGATTATCTTCTAGAACTTACAGTGCTGTAGCATGGGTCCAGATAACCAATCCGGTGTATGAGCTGCAGCTATGGACTAAGCACTGCACTGACGACTGTGCGATAGTCAACTACCCACCATTCAAGATGGATTCAGCCATCCACCTATAGCTCTCCAATGGGTATGATAGTGAGATGGCGGGTGCGGACACACAGTCACATCAGCCTGCTCTCACACCCACCCACTCGAACACACCGAGACAGGCCACCTGTCTGCACCAATAGACCCGAAGCTCGGTGGTCGCTAGCGACAGTGATGCTGCATTTGTACATTTGAACACCGGTGACAGAGGCTGAGCCCCACTGATATGTACGTCGTTGCAAGTGTCTAGTTGTACTCCAGCCGGTACTTAGTTACAGTACTGAACTGCTGTGTCCGAGATCGCGCGCCGCGCGTCGACTAAAAAGCGAAACTTATTATTTCCACGTGATCGCGACATCCTCGCTGCGGAGACGCCAAATTTCTCTCTCACCGCCTCCGTCTCTCACCATCATCTCGAGCTTGCGACCTCCCACTCAATTGACAGCAGGGCCAGGCGACGACGATGTCTACATCATTTCTTTCGCTACCTCCAGAACTCATGCTGGATATCAAGGAGCGTCTATTAGACTGTGACCTCCGCACGCATGTCTGCCTCTACCTCAGCCACCCAACCGTCGCAGCGACTCTGTACGACTCCACGGATAATCCTGACAGGTTCTGGGCTCTGGCATGTTGGAAATGTGGGATAGGGAGCTTGCCTAACGAGCGTCAGGTGCAGTGGAAGGAAATTGCGATTGATTGCATCACACAGGACGGTTTCTGCAAGCACCCTCAGTGCGGTGAGGCGTTACTGGAGCATAATCGTGAGTCCTCACGGTTTGGTCATCTAGCACAACTACACTCGTATGGATATGCGCGCCCAGGTGCATGCATGCGCGAAGCAGCCACGGAAGTTCGTCCTCATGAACCTCTCCAAATTCATGACTACGAGAACCAGGCCTCGCTCGAGTCGCACAGGATTTTCGCGCACATGGAATTCCGGCGTTACGGAGACCGCTTCCGCCCTCACAAGGTACTTCAAGACGCACATCTCGCGTATGCTTCAGACAGCGTTGTACCGCAGCCCGCTGTCGTCAACGAGATGTGGGGCACGTACACCGTGGAGCCTCCAGACGAATATCCTGGGCTGTATCTCTCGGACCACCCCCTCGTCACGCGTACCTTCGCAACATCGCCACCTGTCTCTTCGATGCTCCTTCTGGACCTCTGTGGACACGCTTTGAGAGAGAGGGTTCTAAGAGTGGGACGCGCCCTCACGGTGTTGGACGTCCTACAGGCTATGCATCCAGAGTGTGTTTTTTTTTTCTTCTATGTTCCTACTGAAGAACTCTCACGCCGCTCTATACCTTTACCTAGCCTAGACCACGTGCTCAACATGGACGAAGTGCGAGAGTACGTCAACTACCACGCCGATTGCTTTCCCAAGGACTGGGACTACAAGACAGCTTTCCGCACACTGCGCACGATCCGTTCCTGTCTCAATACTTGGTGCGTCTCACCGTGGACATCCTGATACAATTACTGATGACTGCTTCGTGAATTAGCCCGCTGGAGAAACTCGAGCATCAGGAGAATACGGAGTTTGGACCAGCCTTCTCGTTCGGTCAAAAATAGATACATCTAGAGATGAGATATGGTCAAAGGTTGCATTGATGACAGTCTGTCTATGTCTATCCGTCCTGCGCCTCTCTTAGCGTGTTTTTCCATTCATGCATCTCGCATCATGTCCTCATCCTCGCTGTCTTCCATCTCATCTGTACTGCTTTCATGGGGGTTCTTATTATTGGTCGACATCACTCGATTGGACAACAGGCGAAGGACACCGGTCTAGTGTCCCGTCGTCGATCGTATTGGATATTAGATGGATGGAAGCCCATCGCCTCCATGTCGGTAGACTGGAGGTTGCAATCACAACTCCTGAAGGCCGATTTGTTGTTTGTTCGCAATGGCTTCGCGCATTGGTTAGTGCCTTTCATCTGGTTATCAAGTCTCTATCATTATCGATGTTTCTCGGTCTACTGCGGACGGCAGCGTTATAGTGAGAATGTGCAGCTCGAACCGCAGGCCCTTTCCTTGCGTCTGTGTGAGTACTTGCCCCTATAGGCTTGTGAAGATATGCTCATTCAACGTGCCATTTACCATTCGAGTACAGTGG